AGATATCGAGGCACTCGTTCACGACGCCCAGACGCTTCTCCCACTTGCGGACGCGCTCGGAGAAGTTGGCGATGAAGCGCGAGCCCGACATGGTCTGCAGGTTGAGCATGTGGTCTTCCAGCGTGATCTTGAGTTCGTCGGCGGCGCGGAGCACCCAGCCGCGGTCGGTGCCGTTCTTCTTGTACTTGACCAGCTCCAGCGCCGCCTTGGCCCAGGAGTCCTCGATCTTGAGGATCTCCTGCTCGATCTTCTGCTCCTGCATGGCGGCGTTCACGATCTCCTCGATCTCCGTCGAGAAGCGGTGCAGCTTCATGACGAACAGGTTGCCCAGCGTGAACGTCTTGAGGTTCATCTCGAAGCGCACCTGGGTCACGGTCATGAGCTCCTCCCAATGGCGCGGCTTCATGGCCTCGTTCTTGAGACTCTGGATGAGCGGGATACTGTCCTTGAAGGCCAGGATCTGCTTCTCCACCTCCACAAAAGTCGACATGGCCTTGAGGTCCTTGGGGATCTTACGACAGCGCTTCTCCAGCTCCTCGATGCCTTTGTTCATGGCCGCCACGTCCAGCTCGGCCCAGAGCATACTCGACAGGTTGCTGATAAACTCCTTCTGCTCCGTGTAGAGCGCGTAAATGACCTGCTGCTTCTCCAGGGCTTCCGCGATCTGCTGCAGCTCCGGGTAGGACGTGATGAACAAGGCGAAGAGGTTCTCAGCGTTCGCGAGCTCTTGTCGTCGGGCCTTGAACACCGTGAGCTTCTTCTGGAAGACCGACACCAGTTCGAGGCCCGCGTCCAGATCAAGCGAGCACGTGCCCGGTCCTCGCTCCATGAACTCCTTCTTCATCGCCTTGCAGTCCTCCGCAAAGTTGATCGCGTCTTGCTTGGTCACGCCTCGGAACTGGTCCTTGACCTTAACGAGGCGTAGGTCCTTGGTTTTGGACGCGAGGAAGAGGTTCCGCCACCTCTCTTTGAGCGAGAAGGCCTTCTTGAACTCGGCTGGGTCTCCAGCGATGCTGAACGTCTGCAACGTGCGGTAGCGCTCGATGATGTCCGCGTACTCGAGCTCCATCTCCATGCCCATGTCGCTGATGCTGGCCACCGTGTTGAGCACCTTCTTGAGCGAATCGAGGTCTTCTGGGGTCGCGTCCAGCTCGGCCTCGAGCTGGTCCATCGTGGCGCTGATGGCCACGAGCTTCTTGTTCGACACCTCGAGGAGGATCTTGCCGTAGTCGTCCTTCCACATCTCGGCCTGCTTGGCGATGGCGATGGCCAACGGGAGGCAGTTGATCTGCAAGAAGTCCGTGTCCTTCTCCGTGGGCTGGTTGCGGACGGACTCAGCCAGGCGAGTGTACTGCGCCATGCGCGTGTCAAAGTACACGCAAGGGGGCTTCTTGTCCGCCAGCTTCTCGAGCGCGCTTCGTCGCTTGGTGTTCCAGAGGTTGTACACGGTGTCGTAGCGCCGCCAGCTATCCAGGTAGCGGTTCACGATGTTGAAGACCTTGTGGATCTCCTGGTTGAGCGACAGCGTCATCTTGATCACGTACGGGTTCTGCGAGATGTCCGAGTAGAAGGTGAAGGTGATCGGCTCCTCGTCCTCGTTCACGATGAGCGGCTGCGTCTCTCGACACGTTCCGTGCATCCAGCGGATGAACGCCTTGGCGCTCTCGACGATGTGCTTGACGGACTTGCTCAGGTACTTGTACATGTCCGAGAGGGACGGCGTCACGATGATGTCTTTGCCGTTCATGGTCGCCTTGACCTTGCACAGTGGCGGGCGCTTGAGCTTCCCTCCTTCTCCAAGCCCCATGACCGAGACGGCGCTGCTGATGTCCTTCGTGTGCACGTTGAGCAGCGCCTGGAACGTCGTCATCGACGCAATGATCATCTTGGTGATGGCGTTGAAGATGCGGCGCTCCCAGTACATGTAGTACGTCGACATCTTCGGGCTAGTGCCTGTGTTCACACCCGCGACGATCTCCTCCACCTTGATGAGCAGAGGACCGATCGAGCGGTAGCTCTGCACAAGCTCGTCGATGCGCTGCATGCGGTTGCGCTCGACGAGCTCGTAGAACTCGCCCACCTCCGTCACGACACCTTCCTCGAAGTCCTCGATCTTGATCAGCAGCGTGTTCTCGATATCCATGACGATCTCCTCCACCATCTTGCTGCTCTTGTGGATCTGGCTCACGAGGTTCGCGAACTGGTTCAGCGACTTGTTGCAGTTCTCGATGAAGCTCAGTACGCGCTGCGAGTTCCAGTTCAGAGGCGAAAAGCCCACGCGCAGCACGTCTTCCAGGGCCTTGAGCTGTGAACGCAAGAGGTGCGTCTCGACCGGAGTGAGCTCCGCCAGAAGCGCGTCGTGCCGTCGGAGCATCAGCGTCAGCTCCTGCACGTACTGGTGATACTTGTCTTCTTGCAGCGTCACGTTAAGCGCCTCCTCCGGGATCTCAAACCCGAGGCGATCAAGGTACTTCGACTCCTTGATGATCATGGCCAGCTCGGGCGAGAAGTTGGCGTAGAACGGCGGAGGAGGCAGCTTGTACAGCATGACGCCGGTCTCCGACTTGCCCGCCTCAATCAACTTTGGGCCGAGGATCGACTGCTTCAGGCACTCGTTCGTCAGGGCGGGCACCTTTTCCTTCCAGTCTTTGTGGAGTTGTTTGATGTAGGCGTCCACGGCGCGTGCGAAGACGAGATACTTGTCCTTCACCTCTTCTCCGTGCGGGCTCTTGAGCAGGTCGTTCATGGTTCGGAAGCGCAGAATGGGCTTCTTCGCGCGCAGGTAGAGCGCGCGCGACCAGCTGATAGCGCCTGCAACGGGCGGGTGGTTCTTGTACACTGGCGGCCGGTGTTTGTATCGGTGGAACTGCTCCTCCAGCTTCTCTAGCTCCTTGGTGTACTGCATGAGGATGTCCTTGTACTTCTCCATCATCTGCTTGTTGATGGACTCGCGCGACTGGATGTTCTGGAAGTTTTGCAGCAGGTCGAACGCGCCTTCAGCAGATCGGAGTTTCTGGAACGACGTGTCAATGAACTTCCGTGTCATGTGCTCGATCTCGCTCACTTTATCGCGGAACTGGACCATGACGGACTCCCAGCTCGTCTTGTAGCCGCGGTCGAAGATCTTGAACGGGACGCTCTCGAACGGAGCGATGAGACTCTCGACGCGTGCCATGACCTCGTCAATCCCCTGGGAGTCCCCGGTCACGGACTTGAGCTCGGGTCCTAGGAATTTGTTGAATTGGTCAAGCACCGTCGCCACCTCTTGGAGGTTTTCACAGATCTTGGCCATGTAGTTGGTTTGCTCGAACAGCCGCTTGCGGTCGAACTCCCAGCGGTGATCAGTCCCGCTGGCCTCGATACGCTCGCGCACTTTTATGTACGTGGAATGCCACAACTCCAGCACCATCTTCGCCTCCTCAATGGCGTGAAGCGCATTCTCCGGACTCTTCCGTAGGATGGTGTGGACGTTGATCTCCACTGCCACTTTGTCCACGATCTCGGACGCGATGCGCTCCATCAACGGCACCATCCGCTCGTCCGTGTTGTAGTGCCTCGAGATAATCCAGACCATGCGGATAGCGTTCATCATGGACGGCAGTGTATCGGCGATCGCGGAGAAAGAGCCGCTGGCGATGTTCTTGAAGTGACGCTCCAAGGTCGTGAGGAACTTGACGTTGTCCTTCGCCTCCACGTAGAGCTTGCTCAGCTCTGAGAAGTGATACTTGAACGTGAGCAGCATGCTCGCCTCCACCAGTTCCAGCAGCTTGAGCATTTTCTGGACCGTGGGCATGTTAATCTGCTCGAAGATGGTGCTGAGTGTAGCGTTACGCTCCCTCCAGAACTCAATCTCAGCGAGTGGCCCCTTCCTCTTGGGGGTCTTCCGGGCTTCCTGCTCCACAACGCTGGCCACGCTCTTGGACCATTCTTCGAGCGCCTGCTCCAGCGTGTTAATCAGCTCATAGTCATCCAGATGCGACTCGGGCTTGGTGATGACGACGTCGGGGATATTCAAGTGGATGTCGCCCTGAATCTGTTGAATGGCGTTCGAGATCTGCGACGAAAACTTGACCAAGTTGCTCTTGAACTCGTTACGCACCGCGTCGATCACCTTCAGAGCCTGGTGCGCAGCTGCCGAGTTCTTGGCCCCCGCGTCGTCGCCCTCACCTCGTCCGTTAGACATATAGTCGGCTCTTGAAAGCTGCGGGTCGAGCAGTGGCATGAATACGTGGCAGATGATGCCCTCCAAGTTCGAGAGCAAGTCTCCAGTCGAGCAGCCGAGCTCGACATTCGAGTGAGCGACTTTCTCGTGGCCGTCCGTCACGATATTTTGCACTGTGACGGGTCCTGCCGCCACCTTGATCAAGAACACGGTGGAGGACTCGGAGGAGTCCGCGGGCAGCGTATTCAAAGAGGCGTGACACACCTGGCGCGTAGCCGTCCGCGAGCGCTTCACCAGCCTCTTGACCGTCTCCGTCTGCGGTGGTGGAGCCTCTGCATCGAGGAACAACTGCTCGTCTGTCGGCTCAGTCGGTGCTTCTTCACTCGGTGGGTCTGTATCGACAGGAGCATAAGATAGAGGTCGTGAGTAAGACCCTCACTCAACCAGAGAATGTTGCTGCCTGATGATGCTTACCTGTGGGTGAGGCTTCTCGAGTGACTTCGACCTCTTCCTCCACCTCCTCTTCAAGCTCGTACTGCTCCTCCCCCTTGAAGAAGAAGAGGACGCTGCCGGCTTCAGCCTTCGCAGAAAAGAACAGCTGCACTAGATCAGCAGCAAAAGGCTCGGCCTGGTTGTCCGCGGTCTTGGTTCCTGTCAGGAGTTGGTCGACTACTGCGGGCTCGACATCCAATGCTCGCGACACGAGCCGCCGCAGCCATCGCCGCGTCACGTCGTCCAGCGACATGGTCCCGACCTGGCCTCCTATCTGTCGTGGTCTCCTCCCTCTCTCTGGGTCGGATCGGCCGCCGTTTGGCTCGCGTCGTTTCGATCCGACGACATGGTACCTGATATCCGGTACATGGCTCCAGTCTCCCCAGATTCGCAGATCATATCAAGCAAAGCATGGAGGCGTTCTCCGAGGCGGTGCGCGAGTGGCAGGCGCTGCTGCGCGAGGCGGGCGAGGTCTTCGTGGCCAAGCACCTGGACGCCGCCATGCAACTGGCCGTGGCGCTTCAGTGCGAGCAGGACGCAGAGGCGGAGCGCGCCGCCGCGGCCGTCAGCGGCGCCGAGCTGAGGGACTTCCTGGCCCTGGCCATGCTGCTGCGGCGTCTGCTGGAGGCGGCCGTGCGCGGCCACATGACGTTCCTGCTGCCTGCAGCGGAGAAGAGGACGGAGCTCAAGACGGAGCTGGCGAGGCAGCAGGCGCTCGTTGAGAGTCTGCCGGACGCCTTCCAGCTGCGCTGCCGGCAGCTACTGGAGCGTCACTGGGCGACGCTCACGCAGGCCGCCGAGACGACCAACTTCTCGCTGCCGAGGGTGCAGCAGCTGCACTGGAAGGTGGCAACGGGAGACGACGCTGGACGCCGCATCCTCGTGCGACTGCAGACGTCGGACGGCAAGACGCGGACGATTCACGTGCCACTCCGACAGTTCCACCAGCTACGCCACAGCGCGGCCACGGTGCTGCAGGAGATGAACCAGGTGGAGGCGCACCCGATGATGCGGCTCGCCTACATGGAGCAGAGCCGGCGGGCGGACACCACTTCGGTCTCGACGGCAGTAGGGGCGAGCGTACCGTGAGTAAGAGAGAGTGAGTGAGTAAAGTGTGAAGAACAGTGAGTAAGAGTGCTCTTGTTGCTGCTGTGCGTGGCCGTCTAGTTCTTCATCTTCTTCTTGCTGTTGGAGAAGCACTCGCCCCAGAGGCACACGGTCTTGCCGCGCATGATCTGCGAGAAGGCCTCGAACGTGTAGGCCTGGCGCTCGCGCGCCTCCTCCTCCGTGATCTTCTTGTCGGCCACCTGCGCCTGCACCGCGGCCTTGAGCATGTCCGAGGGCGTGGCCGCCACGTACTCCTGGAACGGGTACTTGGCGCCCTCCACCGCGAGCACGCGCTTCTCGGACGGGATCTGGTACGTCTCGAGCAGCAGGTGCAGCAGGCGCTCCAGCTGCTCCTGCGTCATCTCGCGCGTGTCCGCCTCCTCCTTCTTCTCGTCCTCGCTCTTGGCGTTGAGCGCTTCGCCGGGCGGCGCGTTCGTGGCCAAGTTGAAGAGGATGCGCAGGCGCTCGTCCACGGCGCCCTTGACGGCCATGGAGAAGGCCACCATCTGCGCGTCCACGTCGCTCTTGCGGTCGGTGTCCTGCTCGAGGCTCAGCAGCACGCGCTCCAGGTGGTAGGCCTTGCTCACGCCCGCGGGGCAGGCCTGGGCCAGCTTGAAGCCCAGGTACTGGTCGAAGTGCTGCATCGAGGCCTTGCCCGACGGGAAGGCGCGCGCCACGCCGCCGCGTACGTCCTCGAAGGTCTCGGGCGTGATGTTGTTGCTGCTGCGCAGCTCCCAGGCCTCGTAGGGCGAGATCATGGCGGCCTCGGCGATGGGCGTCTGCAGCGCCTCGAAGTTCTTCTTGCCGCGCGAGCCGCGGTAGATGTAGCAGCCGCTGCCCAGCAGGATGCCGCCCAGCGTGACGCCCGGGTTGCGGCTGAACCAGCCGGGCTTGTACTTGGGCGGCTCCTCTCCGCTGCCGCCATTGGACGAGTCGGCGCCCGTGGAGGAGGAAGAGGTGGAGGAAGTGGAGGACGCAGAGGTGGCAGTGGCGGCCGCGGCCGTGTGCTGCAGACGCCGCAGGTGCGCGGGCGGCACGCGAGCTCGACGCTGCAGGCGGAGCATCCTTGGGCCGGTCGATTGTCGAGTGATGGTCGTGTAATAGTACACGTAGAAAGCAACAATTACAACTACCCATCCGAAAAGGTGGAAACAGTTTTGGCGAAATGTACAATAGTAAAATCATTAAATGGGAGCAAAAAAAATCTGCTCCCAAATGTTGGACTTCGTTAGAAATACGGTACACTGTACCGGCTCCGAAAGGCACTTCAACTTGTACCACTCAGCAGCTCGTCGTCGGTGGCGGCTGTGCGGCCGAGCTCGTGCCAGTTGTCCACGTACTCGTCGAAGTCGAGCGCTGCGGCCCACTGGAACATGTCCTCGGCCTCGGCCTCCCAGTTTTCGTCGTCAAAGTCCACGTCGAACAGCACACGCGGCTGCCTCTCCCCTTGTCCGTTGTCCTCCTCGTCCTCCTCGTCCTCCTCCTGCTCGTGCTCGGGCCGATCCGTTGCGGTCAGCAGGCCCTGCGTGTAGAGCTTCTGCATCCACAGCCGCTTCTTGTGGCGGCGCGCGCGCTCGCGGTCCTGCTGCCGCACGAGCTTCGAGTAGTGGAAGCCGCTCGCGGTGTGGCGCCCGCCTGTGGCTTGCGCGATGGGGTCCGCGTTGGCCTCGGCCAGCACTTTGGCCGTCACGGGACGCCAGCCGTTGTTCTCCAGTCGTCGGTACCACAGCCGCGTGTCCTCCGCCTGCTGCCGCGCGCGGTAGTACGAGTTGCCCACGCGGATGTACGTGGTCCGCACGGACTGGCCCGGCCGGCGCTTCTCGTGCGAGTGGCTCACTGGAGCCGTCTGACGCGCGACCGCGTAGTCCTTGGGGCTGAAGGCGCCCAGGTCGCACACGGGCTTGCGCGTGAAGATCTTGTAGTAGATGGTGGGCGGGAACGCCAGGCCACCGAGGCGGAACCGCACCTGGGCGCCCATGGACGCATCCAGCAGCGACGCCTCCGACGGGTTGATGGCTCGGAGCATGCGCGCTGGGTCGCCAGTGCTGCGGAACGAGAGCAGATCGCGGTAGTAGCGGAAGATGCGGCGGTGCGTGTAGCTCTTCCAGACGCTCTGGATGCAGATCGCGGCGCGGTTCGCGGGCGTCAATGCGGCGGATCGAGCGCCGCGAGCTTGGCGCTGGTACAGTTTGTGCTGGTAGTGCGCCTTCCACGCGTACTGGAGCTGCAGGGCTGCGATGTGGTACAGCGGGAAGCGATCGAGTGTTCCGCGCCAGCGCAGATGCTCCATCCGGAACCAAGCCTGCAGCTTTGTCGCCACGAAGTTACGAAAGCCACTCTCGTCGGAGAAGCTCCCACCGCTTGCGACGAATTGCTGCATTGGACTGCGAATGCGAGCCTTGGCCTTCTTCGTCGTGTGGTCATTTGCCGGTCGATTTGAGGCTGTTTTCGACGAGTGGCGCATTCGGCAGAGCATACCTCGCACACGCTTCTGGATGAGGATGACCGAGAGGTTTTGAGCTGCCATCGGGTACTCCCACGGCCTCAAGATGATCTCCTGCAAGAAAACAACTAGAATATGAGCACCTGTTCATAACTCTCAAGTTGTGCTGTGTGACGCCGGGACGCACTCTCTTCTCGGCGCGAGACTTGCGCATGAAGAGTGACTCCCACGGCAATTGGCGCCGGATGCTCTTCGTGCGCCTGGTCTTGGGCTCATGGCGCGTTCGAAACTTGCTGGTAGTGCATCATCGAGAATCTTCAGACAATGAGCTCCACTCCACACACAAGACGACAAGAGAAGATCGCACCTTTGGTATCGCCCGTGCTTGAAGCCAAGCTCTCTCAATCGCTTCAAGACGTCCATTGCTGTCTGCCGCTCGTCTCCAATTGCCTCTGCCTGCTATAGTTCAGCAGTGGTGAGGCTGAAGTCAAACTTGGTACTTCTTCTTCATCTTGCTATTTCCATTCTCCTGCTATTTCGATGCGAGCGCAACTTCACGTGTCTTATCTTGCAAGTAGGAACGCAAACTGCCTTCGAAATCCCGCTGGGAGACCTGAACGTATCTGATGGATGAACGAGAAGTGATCGTGGCGCTGGCGGAAGCTCTGGTTCAAGTGCGCGCACTTGACGCTGAGCCTCGAATTCCGTTCACTACTGTCCACCGCGCCCTCGAAGACGTCGAACGCCTCATCTTCCACCACAAGGAGCAGTTCGGCGTGCACTCGGTGCATTTCCAGCAAGGCTGCGAGGAGTTTCTACTGCTGAGCAACACGCTCGCGATGAAGGCTCTGCAGCGCTCGACGCCGGAGGATATCATCACTTGTGAACAATGCGGCGACCTGCTCCTTCGAGCAGAGCAGCACACTCGACACACGGGGTACCTGCGCAGTATCCCTGAAGCACAACACACTAACCACCGGCGCGCGTTCCGCCTCATCACGCTCAACAACCTCGCCTGTCACGCCAAGCACACGGGTAAGCCCATCGCGGCGGTCAGCTTCCTCGAGCGAGCGTTGAAGCTGCAGATCAAGTCTCAGGGCAATGATTCGAGCATTCCGGACCACGAGATCGCTCTTAATCGACTCAACCTGTGTGCTGTGCTCTCGCAGCTCCACCGCCACGTTGCAGCCGCTGCACACGCCAAAGCGGCCGTGGCGTTGCTGTCAACCACTGAAGGAGACAGCGAGAATCTAAGCGCCGAAGTCTCTCAGTTACTGCTGGTGGCCCACTACAACTTCGCAGTGGAGCTGGAGCATCTGAGCGACCACGACGCAGCATGGCGGCAGTACGAGCTCGTGGTCACTGTAGCTGAACGCTACCAGCTCCAGAGCGACCTCATCGACAGCGTGCGAGCCATCCTAGCCCAAGGGTCTCTGAGACCCAGCAGTAAATCGCCTCCAAGAGCTCGAACGCCACGAGAACTTTACAAACCGCAGCGAAGACCTCAGTCCCCCAAGACATTACGCCTCGCTCAAGCATGAGAGCGTCAGCCATAATAATAATAAAATGAGCGTTCGCTTGGTCTCCTCGGAGTTTTTCTTGGTCGAAGTATTTTTGAGCTTGGCTGCGTGCGATGATGATCACCGCGAGTTCATTTCGGCGCAGACAAAGTCATCATGAGTGTCGGGAGTAGCGGCGACGAGCTCGAGACGCCTGGAGTTCCGCCTCTTTATCCCGGCAACAACTCACCGCTCGATGAGACGCTTACTCTGAGCATCGGTCTCGTTGCCAAGTCCACCGTTGACGCCGTCGTTCAGGAAGCAGTGGAAGCTTTGGCTCAGGCTGTTGCAGGCGCGACGCAGTGGTTCGTTGACGCCGCGCGTGGAGAGTTCATTTCCCAGGCGGTGATCACTGCTGACCCTCCTGACCCTGACCCAGTCGAGGAGGATGGCAAACATGCCACCGCTTCTCCACCTGACCTCGTTAAGCCGTTGCCGCTGTTGACCCGACCTCCGAGCGCTGTTATCCACGCGGTCGCGAAAGCGACAGTCGATGCGGCGACACAAGAAGCGGTCAACGAGGTCGTACGAGCCGTTGAGAAGGCCACCGAGTGGATCACCCAAGCCGTGGAGAATGAACTGGTGTCCGAAACCATGGACCCTGACGAGGGCATCGCCATCCACAATGCCACCGAGTGGATCGCCCAAGCTGTGCGCAGTGAGCTGGTTGCTCACGCTGTGGCTGACGCCTCTCCGTCCATCGACGCCGCTATCGAGGAAGATGAAGAGCCTCCGGATACTCCAGAAGTTGTGCGTGCTCATAGCATTCCTCGGCTTTCGTTCCAAGACGATGTTCCCGTCGCTGCCATTCGAGAGCTTGCTAAAGCCACAGCTGAAGAGGCTGTCGGTATTGCATGTGAAAACGTGGCTCAAGCAATTGGCCTTGCCAGTACATGGCTCGCCCAGGCCGTCCGTGGTGAGCTGGTCGCACAAACTGTAGCAGACGCTTCACCCCCTGATCCTGATAGCACTCTTCCAGT